TCTTATACTCCAAACCATTCACCAATGTACGCCTTCCATGACAGCTGATATAGCAGAAGATTCATCAATACCTGAGAATTGGCATTTATTTCTGCATGTAATTAGGAAACAAATTAAATATGAACATAAATTGATACTTATTTACTCAATGTCATAAGAAGTATTAATATTTATTAGTTATTACCTCTGCAACATAATACCAGAATCCTTTTTTCCAGGCACAATAGAAAGAAAACCATTGTGAAGATAAGTTGAAAAATTATGATCCACAGAAACCGCAACCACATCAGTCTTTGCATTCCCAACATCCATCAGTTGAATGGTTAAACAACATGGGCCAGATGACTGCAAAAAAATAAGGAAAAATAAATAAATAAACCAGAGTTCTTACAGGATACAGAGACTGCTACATATGATTATACAGTAATAATTTATGTTTATTGTTATTGCTATTGTTACTCTACCTTCACTGCTTTTGTTTTTGTTAATGTTATTATTCCTGTTACCTAAGTGTTAATGTTATTGTTTGACTGCTTTCTGCAACCATAGTTATCAGATTTGTGAGCAAAATTAAAGATAAATAAGCTTACCTACCATTAAGCCAGGATAAGAGTTTAGGGCATCAATGGAAGATGTCTCCTGGATTTTATTACCTCCTGGACACACGCCATAAATTTTCAATAACTTGGAATTGTTCAAGTAATATAATATAATCCCAAAAAAATACAATTAACTACCAATAAGTAGGCAATGCAAATTTTGGAAAGGCATATCAGGTTCATTTGTAGCTGAGGGGTACCAAATACGCTCTATGTTATTCTTATTTAATTGAAGTTGCTCCAAACTGAATACAATTTCAAGTAAAGGATAAAGCTTTCACAAAATAGTATAATATTAACCTTGAGTAAGTCATTGTTTAGGGTTAAAAGCGAATCCAGAGTGCCAACACGAAGATTTGGGATATTAAACTGCAAAACTACTCAAATTTAATAAGATACTTAGTAAAATTGAACGAAATTGATAGCGATGATTGTTATACCCTATAAAGAGGAGTGTCAAATGAGTTTTTGGAGATGGATTCTTGTAAGCGACTCCACAAAGAAGAAGCAGAACTCTGAACGGGAAGAGAAAGTCTTCGTGTTTAGGGGGAAAATTAACGAGATTCCCAATTGCTGCTCAAAATTCTTAAGATCGACAACGGAGATTCCCGATTGTTAAATTGAATTATGGTTTGCAACAGAGAATCAAAAGGGGAAAATTAATGAAATCTATCCTCCAAATAGAAATCGACGAATTCATGAGATAGATTGATTTCATTTTGAAAACATCCATGATTTCGTTTTGAAAACATCCATGAAGTCAAATTTAGAAGCAGTAATAAGCGATTCAGATTCGCTTTCTATTCAAACATGTTCAATTTTTTTGTAGGATACGGTCCCAATTTTTACATAGGAACCACCAAATCCTTCAAAACTAGAAAAAAAAGTATGTGAAGAAACGAACAATAAATTGATTACCTGGATCTCTGACACAAAAGTTTCAAAGGTGATGACAATCAGGAAGCTAATGGAGCAAAGTTATGGTTCTTCATCTGTGTGTTTTTCTATTTATCTATGGGGAATCAAAAACAAACGAGAATCAAGATTTGAATTCCTAATATTGAGACTTGAGACTATAATATTGAATTAGGGCTTTTTCTGAAAATTTCAACATCAAGTGGAAGATATGGTGGTTCCAGTGGGTAGAAGTAAGTGAGCCTTGATCGATGTCAACGATTGGGGAAGTAGTTAGCGGTCGATGTGGCAAGGGGAAAGAAGTATCGCTGATTAGGGTAAAGAGGGAAGTGAAAGCGGGCTAAGGTAAACAGGGAAGTGAAAGCGGGCTTTTCTAATTTTTGGGTTTTTCTTTTTCCCGCTTATTACTAAAGAGCGCGTTTCATTAAAAAATATAAAGCGACATGTTTAGATGACGCATGTTTTATAATTAGTGCCCTCCGTGTTTTTTTCTAACACTTATTCTAGGGCACGCAAAATTGCGCGTTCTAAATCCTTAAAATTTCTAGAGAGCTGACATTATTTTTAGGTCACGTGCTTTTGCGTATCATAAATCACCGTGTGTCATAAATTGCGCGTCATTAAAGGTCTATTTTCTAGTAGTGATGGAAGGCTCGAGTTAGTAGGAGTTGAGTAATCAGATGGGATATAAGCAAGCTATTTCCAGCAACATCGTTTTAGTATGACCGGAAGAATGGATAGAACAGTTATAGATAGTCGAAGTATTTTCAGGAGTCGCTGGAAGCGACTAGGAGATTGCGATGGAGTATAGTGACCGGTGGTAGTCCGGTAACTAGGATATCGGTAGATTAGTTGGACCAAAGTGGTCTCAGTGCATCTAGTAGGCGGATGAGGGGTACAGAATTGCCATTCAGAGGAAGTAACGCTAAGAAAATTATGGAAAGGAGAAGGATTCAGTATCTACCAACGATAATGAGCGGCAAGGTGAGTGGCTGGAGTGATGGACAAAAGGGCGTTAGATTTTCCAGACCGAGAGTTGGAGGCAGTTCGAAGGCAGTTGATCGTAGCAAACTTCGAGGATGAAGTTTAGTTTAAGTAGGGGAGAGTTGTAACACCCCAAAGTTTGGAGAGCCAAGAAAAGAAAGAACACCTCAAGTTTAGGGGAGACTCGGCGAGTCCATGGAGCGACTTGGCGAGTCCGAGCGGGATCCAGGTTGTGGTGAAAGCGACCGACTCGGCGAGTCGGCCAAGGAGACTCGACGAGTTGGGTCTGAACGAGGAAAACCCTAAATCCGGGAACTTGGAGCCTATTTAAGCGTCTCATTCTCCTTCCTAGGGTTCCTTTACTGCCTCTCTACCCCAGAACACCAAACCCTAGCCGCCATATCCGTTTTTGAGCTAGATCTTGCCTTGTAGAGTGCACTAAAGCTTGGAGAAGGAAGAAAAGCCTTGGAGGTGCAAGAAGGGACTGTAGATCCGAGATTGAGAAGACATTTCAGATCAGTTGGAGGTAATAAGTTGTTGCTTGGACTCCCTTTGCACCTAGATCTATTCTTATATGTGAGTTTTGGTCATTTTTAGTATGATATGTAACCAATCCGAGTTGGAGGTTCAGATCTGAGGTTGCTACCTCAGATCCATGTTTGTTTTGGTCTTGAATCCCCTAAAGTATCAGCCCTTGGTATGTTGAAGAAGTATGTTTGCCATAAACCCGAGTTTAGGGTGTTTTGAGCCTAGATCTCTTAATCTACACGTAAAGTTTGCCACTTTACGTGGGGAATAGCCCTAGAAGTATGGATCTATGAGTTGGAACTCTGTTTGGCTCGAAAAGCCACTGCATGGATTGAGGACTGGATAGACTCGGCGAGTCCTTCGAGTGGACTCGGCGAGTAGCTTGAAGATGAGGAGGAACTCGACGAGTAGGATGAACACTCGTCGAGTCGGATGAAGTTAGGCATGGCTCGGCGAGTTGGATGAACAACTCGACGAGTTGGTTGAAGATTGTCTAGGACTCGGCGAGTCTGTTCTTGGACTCGGCGAGTCAGATCGCGAAACCCTAAACCCTTCGAGTTGAGACTCGAATCAGTGAGTCGGGTGGTGACTCAGCGAGTTGGACAGGACAGGACTTGGACCTAGTTGGACTCGGCGAGTCGCGAATAAGAAAGACCCAGAGCATATGAACTTGGCGAGTCAGTAGATAGACTCAGTGAGTAGGGTTGACCCGGAAGGTTGACTTTGACCAGGATTTTGACCTTGACCAGAGTTGACCTAGTGACCTTTGGAGGTCAGTTGGACTAAGTGTTTTATTGGCTTTTGAAGCTCGAAGAGTTAGTGGAGCAGCAGTTCGGAGTCAAAGGTCAAGTAGCAGTCAAGAGGATTAGCAGCATCAGTTCAGCAGTCTCAGGTGAGTTTCCTTCCAGTAGGGACGGGTCTAAGGCCACAATGCCGGCCCGTTCAGTTAGCAGTAGTTTCCGGACTTCGGTCCGATGCAGTAGTTAGTATGTTTGATGCCTTCGTGGCTCAGACAGGATTTATGTGCTATGTTTTATGTGTTATGTGTTATGTGTTCCGGGCTACGGCCCGATGTAGTATGCAGTATATGTGTTCATGCTAGTTGATATGTTATGCTATGCTATGTTCAGTCAGTTAGCCCGGACTTCGGTCCGATGCAGTTAGTCCGGACCTCGGTCCGATGCAGGGGACAAGGTCCCAGTCAGTTTCGGACTTCGGTCCGATGCAGTTAGTCCGGACCTCGGTCCGATGCAGGGGACAAGGTCCCAGTCAGTTCCGGACTTCGGTCCGATGCAGGCAGTTCTGGACTTCGGTCCGATGCAGTTAGTCCGGACCTCGGTCCGATGCAGGGGACAAGGTCCCAGTCAGTTCCGGACTTCGGTCTGATGCAGTTAGTCCGGACACTCGGTCCGATGCAGGGGACAAGGTCCCAGTCAGGTCCGGACTTCGGTCCGATGCAGTTAGTTCCGGACTTTGGTCCAATGCAGGGGACAAGGTCCCAATCAGTTCCGGACTCCGGTCCGATGCAGTTTCTGGGCTTCGTCCCGATGCAGTGGGCAAGGCCCAATATGTGTTTATATGTTATTGTATGGTATGTGGTAGTTTGGGGGAGCTCACTAAGCTTCGTGCTTACGGTTTTCAGTTTTGGTTTCAGGTACTCAGTTTTCAAAAGAGGAGCTCGGGGAGATTGCAGTGCACACACCATAGTCAGTTAGCCTGGGAATGTTTGACTCTGATAATGATATTATGTTTTGAACTAATACTCAAGAATTTATGTTATGACTTATGATACAGTTTTTATAATTATGATTCTAGTAATGCTTTTAAAGAAAATTTTTGGTCGTGATTTTTGGGTCGTTTCAAGTTGGTATCAGAGCCTTGGTTTGAGGGATTCAGATATGCATTCGAGTGTATTTGAACTCAAACTAAGGACACGATAAAGGATTTTCAAAAGAAAAACATTTTACCCATACAAGTTATATTATGATCATCATTATCAGTTTCAGTTTCAGTTTCAGCTTCTGTAGAACAGCATGCTAGAATAAGACTAAGGATCTAGGATGGTGCCTTATGTGCCTGTTTTATGTGTTTCAGCTGATAAGAATTGCATGCTAGTATTGAGTAGACAGTAGTAGGATAGCCTGTGTAGGTTATGCCTGATAGCATGAGCTTAGCATTGTATGCTAGTGCAGTTTCTTTTTATGAGAATTGTTTTGCCTAAGTATGTTTCCTTTATCCGAATGCTGCTTGCTTTGTGCTTTGTGGGACTCTGAGTGATGGGAGTTA